ATATATATATATATATTAAAAGTATTTTTTGTATAGAATTTCAATTATCATTACTTATATTTTTTAAGAATATAAAATTAAATATGTATTCCACAATATATTCTTTGCTTCAAGCTGACTCACCCACTGTGTGAACGCTCTGCTGGGGTCACCTCCAGCCACAGCCACAGACCCACACCCAGCCCCAGACCCAGCCTCAACCTCAACCTCAGCCTCAGTTGGCTGTGTTTGCTATTTAACTGACAAACGACGGAATTAGTTGTACGTTTCGTTGGCATTTCAGTTGCCTGGGCATTAATCTGAGCCCAACCTCGCATATCAATGTGACAGTCGCCCCCGCCCCTCTCGGGGCATTAGGAGGCGATGCTGAGGCGATACGGCTTAGAGCTTTTTAGGGATTTTCTGCTTCATTGCTATGTATTATCGGTGGCCCGCATTGGTAGATGGTAGATGGTAGATGGTAGATGGGGTTAGCTCGTGTTGAATTGCACTAATTTAGTTGGGCTCAAATGCCGCTGCTTCAGCGTTGCGACGCCCTGTGCCATGTTTTATGATGATGAGTTCGAAGTTCAAGCATGTTCAGCATAAATATATGCGTAGATTATCTGAACAGGGCACAGGCGAGGACAATCCATTTAGAGCAGCATCGAGCAGCTCAGATTGCATTGTAAACTAGCGAATGGAAAAGATTTTCTATTTTGTTTTCGTAGATTTGTAGACGGCAACAGTAATTATGCTTCATATTTCTTCTCAAGGTTTCATAATCTATTCTGGCTGTGCAACACAAATTAAAAAAAAAAGGGATAATGTCGAAGTGTTTCACGGAAAAACGAGAGCAGTTTGATAAAAATGTAGTGCAGGCGAATGACCTTCGAGCGATTGTAGGATTCAAATTAAATATTTCATGCGCATATCCATAACTGGAGCGACCTCTAAATACTGAAAGGATGCATCGGCTGCGACAATAAAACTATAAAAGACCAGAACAAATAGTCTTTGTGCCGCTGCGGCTGCTTCTTTCCGTTTCTCCCTCTCTCTCTCTCTCCCTCGCCTTGTTCCTCTCTGTCCCTCTCTCTCCCTCGCCTTGTTCCTCTCTGTCCCTCTCTCGCTCGAGGCCATTCCCGCTGCGTATTTAGTGCGCCGACTTTTAGACTCTCAGACTTTCAGTTTCCAGTCGACACCAACAAAACAAGCCCATTAGTCGGCCGCATGTTTTCGTGCCTTTTTTATGCCATCGCCTCAATTCTTGTCTTTGGCTCTACGCATTATCGCAGCAGTTGTTGTCATCTCTGTTGCTCTTGTTATTGTTGTTGTTTTGAAAGAGGTGACAGCCTATTTGCTTGTTTATCTTTTGAACGGTATCTGCAAATGTATCTATAGTTGCGACCTGACATCGCTGAATTATGTATACAACGCCGTTGGCCGCTCGGGCTCTGGAATGGCGCGCCACAAGACTGCCTCAAGGCTCCCACTTAAGCCCCTTCTAATGTGGCAAACAGAAATTCGTTAAGCTAGCCGTATCCATTGGCTCTGGCACAAGCAGCATTCTCGCCACGCCCATTACATGCTCCAAGGATGGTTAGAAATTTTATGCTCAGCTTGTCAGCGCTAACGCCAACGCCAACGCCCTGACCCCATCGCCATTCAGCTGAATAGCGATGACAACTTGCCATGCGACGTGGCCCCGGATCCGAGGCAAAGGCGTGAGCTCCTCTTCGGCTCCTTCTAAGTTTTCTTACTGTTGATTTTATACATGCGCTGCACTACAACAAAAAATTGCACAAAATAATTCTGATTTCAAGATATTTTCAGATATATTTTCATATGATTTAAAACAAAGAAAATGAAAATTATATCAACATCTATTAAATAAAAAAAAAATAGTCTCCCCGCGTTCGCTCAGTGCATTTGTAATTTGAGCCAAAAAGCAAAATGTGAAAACTGTGAAAAAGAAGGAAAAATGTGCGAGAGAAAAAATAAAAGCTTCTGCTGCTGCTGCTGCTCGTCAACATAAAACTTGCAAAATAAGTTTCGCATGTTTCAAGAAACTCAGGTACGAGGATTTTTGGCACTGGAGTACGTAGGGAGTGGGGAAGGAGGGAGCCGCTTGAATATGCAGCAAGCATTCCTCTTCTTCTGGCTCTCAGCTCTGTTTTATATGCTGAAATCGGGGCCCGCCCACCTGAGCGACAGCCACGCCAGCCAGAATGAGAATGAGGGGCTGGCTGGCAGTCAGCATTGCGGCTCGTAAGCCGCGTGGAGGGGGAACACGAAATGTACCCCAATTTAATCAAGAATTCTATTCTGCAAATGACTGGCATGACTGACGAATGCGAGGGACGGCGGCGTGAAGCATGTAAGGGAAGAGGCAGCAGAGGGCAGCACTCAGACTGTACGCCAAGAATTTTTATTTCGCGTGTCAAAAAAATTGCATGCCCATGCCAAAACTCAAAGGATTGAGGTGCGGGAGAACTTAGAACTGTGAACTGAGAACTGAAGGTAGCACTTTTGCAATGGCTTTCTGGATACATCCCCAAATACAAATTGTTACTATGAACTCGGAAAGACTGGCATGAGAAGGAAGTTTTCCAATTATTTTCGAGTCTCGCATGCCACACTAACTTGACAAATATTTGACAAATAACGATCCGTTACAGGATTATATTGTAGTATTTTGTATTTTAAATAAGATAGATAGATTATGGAAAGAAATGATCAAGTGATCGGCATATACTCGAATGAGAAAATCCGGTCTGTCCACTTTTCACATCCTGAATTAGATCAGGAATATATATGCATATGCATCAGGCACGCCTGCATCACTCTGTTACAAAAACAAAATACCCTGTTAAGGCCTTCCCATGTGCAGAGGGTATACAAATTCATTGGCTGAAAGTATTTTAGGCTTTGTCGCTCCGCAACTGGAAAGAAAAGTCGAATCTCGATTTTTCCCATTATAGAAACGCATAAATTGATAGTCTCCGGGCGAACAAAGAAACTGTACAAATGTTTGAAATGCCATTTGAAGTGGGGAAACGAGAGAAACTGAATAGCGCCGCGATACTTGAGCAAGGGGAAACTGGAGCTAAGTGGTGTGTGGTGTGGAGTGGAGTGGAGTGGAGTGGAGCGTTCGACTGGGGCTGCAGCCGGACGAGCAAAATGGCTGGCGTTGTTATTGAAATAAATTATTGTAAATAAATACGAAAAGCGAATTTATGAAGTCGTTGGTTATAATGGCATGTTATGTTGCTTGTGCCTCGCTCGACCATGCCGGCATCCACATTGGCCTGGGCATCGGCTTGG